CCCCCCCCCCCCCCTCACACACACCGTATTCCGCACGCTCTTGGAGTAACATGATTTTTTTTGCGGTTTCCCAAGGTTGGTCTGGTCTCGAGTACTTTTGCGGAAAGCAATTTTCGGAACCCGTAACCCGGAAAGTAGCTCCGAGATCCAGCCAACCGGCCGATCGGGCGGTTGAACCTCTGTTTGCTTGTTTTTTAACTCGGCCGTGCGTTTGTGGTTTTACAGCACAACGGGTTGGTTCGACTGGTTGCCCGCATTCCGCCGTTTTTTTTGCTGCCCTCTTTTTCGCTATGTTAGGCGGACCTTCTCATCGTGCTGGGGACATCGCTCAAGGTGCAGCCGGTCTCGAGAATTCTTCAGTTCATTCCTCCGCACGTCCCCCAGGTTTGTGTACCAGCAAACATTTGCAGTAGTACACCCCCCCCCACCCCCCTACCCCGGGTACACACACACATACACGCCGGCGCCGTTGTAGGTCGTGCTCTTGACGTTTGGAGCGCAAGACAACCGTGCCGGTCGCCGGTAGGGCTATTAATAACTTCACTGAAGAACAACCTTCGTCCTCGAACACCTCTTAATCATGTCGCGGACACGAGGCGATGCGTGGCTGGGATTTCAAGCAGCAGTTGCATTCACACCGTGCTGCGCGACAAGCTTGATTCAAACCCCTGTCTCTCCGAGAGCCTTGTCCGGTGAGAACCCGGCGTGCTCCGTCCCGGCTTTGTAGGGATACGAGGTCAGTGTTCTGACGACTACGGCATGATTTTCCATGATTACACCCCCCAATGCCCCTCGTCCTCCCCGCCGTATCACACACACACACACCGCGGTTGCGTAAAAAAGGTGCTCGTCAATCGGGAGTTGATACGTCCGCCGAGAAAGATCTCCGACGGGTTCGACCTCCACCTCCTGGGAGACTGCGATGACGTCATCCAACACCTGTGCGACCGCCTTGGGTGGGAGCTGCCGCCGCTGTCCCCCCCCGCAGACACGCCACCGGCTCTACCGACAACACCAACGACCCTCGACTCCCCCGCTGCGGCGGCGAGCGCAATGCCTCCTGAAGGTGTTAAGGGGGAGGGGATGGGAAACAAGTCCCCGGCGGCGGCGGCGGCGGCGGCGGCGGGCACAACGCCTCCGGAAGGCGTCAAGGGGGAGGAACGGGACTCACCGCATCACCCCCCATCCCTCCCCCCCCCGACGTTCGTCCCGCCAAACAGCTACACGTTTCCTTCGTCAAGGGTCAATGGGACCGGTGATATGAGCGCGGCGTGGACAGCTCTTGGCGGGGGCGGCGAGGCTTGCAACGACAACGCCGACGACAAGGACAACGATTTCGAGGAGGTAATTACATGGTGAGAACACAGAGATGAGTCGTAGAGCAGAATGAAAGCGGCTTGCAATGTCGCTGGTCGTCTAGACGCGCCTCTGCCAGCGAGAGTATCGTTCCCTGCCGTGCCCGTCGCGTCTCCGGAGATCCTGATTTTCAGCGTTCGTGAACCCCCCCAGCTGTTGTTGTTGTTGTCGTTGTTCTTCACCGTGTTTTGCGCGGCAGACGAAAGCGCCCATCCCGCAGCGAAACGACGACGTCTGCAAGAAGAGGAGCTTGGCCTCTTGGTCCACGCCGTGTTTGTGCCGCACGTTGCGACCGTGGTAAAATGCCAATCAACCGATTTCGTTTCTGTCCCCGCCTTTCCCACGCTTTGCGCACTAACGCGCACTTCTTGTCTCCTCTTCCGAGCCCTGCTGCGCCGGGTGTGTCTCTCGCGCTCGACCGCTGGAAGCACGCCGGATACACTCACGACCCGTAATTGTTTTTTGCCACCCGCCCCTCCAAACTTCGCCCTCTCGAGGACGCGTGGTCACTGGTCTAACCGCTAAGGCATGCAAAACATAAGAGTACCCCCCCCCCCCCCCCCCCCCCCCCCCCNCCCCCCCCCCCCCCCCGTCCAAACTGTGCAGCGATGGGTGCGACAAGGTGGTGGTGGGAAACGTGTACGTCTGCAGCGAATGCTTCGGTTACGATCTCTGCGGCATATGCCACGGCGGCGGCAGCAACGACCACGCGCGCGAGATGGGCCACGCCTTCCAACTGGTGGAGCGATAAGAGGGCTTCTGACCCCCTCCGGAGTCTCGTCTACCCGCGAGTCGCTTCTTCTTTTTTTCAGAAAACCTACACACAGGCACCGAGAGACTTCCCGTTCGAGAAACAGCCACGGCAGTGGAAGGGGACGTGTTCAAGCCTTGACGACTGAGTGAAAGTAGAAACGACTGGATACGTGGGAGTGTGGTTTATGTCTGAGCGCTGAAGTAGTGATGCTAGCTATTTTAGCGACATGCTGACGGGTGGTAATATAGTATCGGGTGGGGATTCATGGCGAAGCCGCACATGCCAAGCGGGCCAATTTCATCAGGCGATGAGACTACTTACATCAGTTCGAATTTTGTGTAGGTGTCGTCGGTTGAGGGTGCGAGGATGGACCAGGCGCTTCCATACCATACCTGTCCAGGGCAACGATTTGTCGGTGCAACCCTAGAATCAGTAGCTACAGTGCCGGAAAGTGTGAGACCGATTTTGGGTGCTTCGAAAAAAAAAATAACCTTCTTTGTGGAGGACACCTGTCGGGAGTATAACCAACCATGAGTGCACATACAAAGTGTAGGAAGATATAGCTCCATCGGGGTATCTTGTCACTGGGAGAGTGACAAGAAACGCACCGTCGGAGATTTGTCTCTTCCGAAGTCCATGGCCACTTGCCGAAAGGAGAAGCAGAGAGTCTTCGACTGTCCTCTCCCTCTGCTCTCTCTGGCCACTCTTTCTTTCTACCCTCTTCTCCTCGTTTACATATCACGAGAGGAAATAGCCTTCCCCTGGCAGTGGGATAATACTGCCAAGGCACCGGCCTCTGTCTCCGACAGTAGCTAGGGTCCATATTGGCGTCGACTAGAACACGGCTCCGCCGTGACTACTGTAGCGAGGAGAGAAGAAAAAATAGAAACGACGAGAAAATGACGAAAAGCTCCTAGCAACGCAAGAAAGAGCTTCGCCAACAAGTCAGGGAGGCGGCAGCACTGGTAGCTGAAAAAGAGCGGCGCTAGCGAACCAGGAGCGGGAGCTCGAGGAGCTGCGGCGGAAGCTCGCCGGTACTGTCCCCCCGTCGCTGTCGACCTCTACCCCACCGGGAAGGGGCACCCCCTCGGAGCGTGTGTCTGTGCAGGGTCCCTCTCGGGGAGATCGGCCCCAACAGGAGCCGATTCCCGAGGAGGCCGCGCCAGCCACCGGCGAGGAGAAAGGTGCTACCCCCGAGGGGACAGAGAACGGGAGCGACGAGGACGACAACGACGGCGACGAAGGGGAATGGGGCAACGAGAGCGAACGGCATGTCATGTACGAGTTGCTCGACGGCTTTCGGTCACAGAACGTGTCCGCGGACGATCGGCACGCGCTCATGACCTCCGCTGGGGGCCAGTTTGCTGACATGCTCTCACGCCACTGGACGGAGAAGTCCACTCCACCCGAGTGGCTGGTGTCCCTCTTCCGCCCCACCGCACCTCCCACCACCACGACTCCGGCTTCTGCAGAGGAAGTGGCTCAGGTGAATACTTCGTCGACAGCACGTAGCAGTATACCAGTTGAGGAAAATCAGAGCAGTGGAGGTAGCACCTCCCCCGACCTAGTTCTCCGTCAACCAATCTTGCCTACTGTCACTCAGAACACACCTGCCCATCCTCGGAACCTAGCCCCTGGTTTAGCATCTACTCCGGATAGCCAGAATAGTGATTACAGGCGTAGCAACCCTGTCGCACCCGAGTCGGCATCTACTCCGGATAGCCAGGACAGCACATACAGGCCTAGCAACCCTGTAGCACTGCTGTCTACACCTCCACTGGCGCATTATTCTCTGCCCACAAGCACCCCTACCTCAACACATACATCGGGACACATCCAGAAATTTACTTTTCGCCAGAACGACCTTCCGAAAGAAATATCGTTTTCGGGGAAACCAGGAGATTCCGATGTTGTTGAGATACTGACCAAATACCGAGCACGTGTGAAACTAGCCTCTGTTGCAGCAGACGACCCGGCCGAATCTGTAGTAGACCAAAGAGCGATTCAATTCCTCCCCTTCGTCATTCGAGGCCAAGCCTATGACACTCTAGTGGAACTGGTTAGTGGTACTCTCGAATGGCGATCGGCACACCGGTTGACCGCACTTCGGAATGCAGGACAAGTTGTCAGACCTCGAGCACCGGCAACTTGGGATGAATACTGTCAAGCTTTCACCTTTCATTTCTCCGCGCCCAACCGCATTGCGGTATTAGCTAGAGAAATAGCCGCTCTCAGGCAGGAAGGAGAGACGACAGTGGACGGGTTTGCGCTCAAAGTTACTCAGGCCCGCACACGCCTCCTCGCAGAGGCTGCTCGTTCAGGTCCCTCCCACATTAGCCACTACGAACACGCATGGGACGTTTTCATGACTGCCACATTTGAGAACGGCCTGAAACCTCACATTAGAGTAGAGTGTGTTCGAGAGGACCCTCCAAACTCATTTCAGGACGCAAGACTTCGCGCGAAAAAACACGAGGCAAATAATCTGAGAGGCGCAGCGTCACCCATATCCGACACCGTATCTGCTGTCGCGTACCCTGAACCCCTACAGCTGAAGCAGACTGTGTCCTCGAACAAGAACAGCACAGCGAGTCAGGGTGCCCCGAAAAAGGCGCGCACCGCGGGTAAAGGCAATTCTTCCTCGGCATCGAAAGAAGAACCGTGCCCCTACCCGGGGTGCAAGTTCAATCATCCCCTTGAACAGTGCGGTTTAAAAAAAAAACACGCCCAAGACAAGGGATGGACGTGGACTAAAGCTTGACGGGGCCCTTCACGGGACTCCTCGCTCGTAGGGAGACAGGTCGATAGCACACCATTAGCTGAAGAAACCCATGTAGCACAGAATGCCCGAGTTGACTCAGCCCCGGATGTGCATGACAGTAGCAAATCGAGGGAATCATTTTTTCCTCGGGTGAGAGGTGGTGATGTGAAGTCCGTTCTAGATTTTAGCAGTAAGTCTGAGACATCGGTAACAGATTCTGCCCAGGCACCGTTTCATAGTCGGTCAAGTAGCAAAGCAGGAAAAAATAGGAAGAACAAGCGCACTCGTGCGCCGACTTCTAGGTTAGCCCCGCAAGCTGAATTTGTACTGACTGGTAGTATG